GCTTATTTGTGTGTCACATATTCAGTTTAATTAAAAAAATTAAAACTCTGTGTTTTTTTTCAAGTTTTGACAGAAAGCTATTAAAATCTTATATAAAAAAAAAAAAAAAAAAAAAAAAAAAAAAAAAAAAAAAAAAAAAAACACAGACAGGTTTGCCTTGTGCATGGGCTTCATCGTAAAGGATAAATAGTTTTCAGATGTAATTTCCCACTTAAGGGAATGTTAAAGATGTTTCAGATTTCTGTCCCCTTTCTATGCTATTATTACACTGAAATTTCTGAGGTTCAGAGCTTTAGCATTGATAGATGCAGTTTTGATAATTCTGTAGATTTTACTGGTCCCAGCTGTTAGGACTGCATAGAGGCTTTTTCAGCATTACTGCATTGTCTCAGCCACATATGGCAAACAAAACTCTGCTGAAATGCCAACTCCTCCCCCTCTGAAACAGGTTAGCATTAAAGAGGTTAGCATTATGGAAGCCTGCAGGTGTGTTCAACTCTGTTCCTCCTCCCCTGCTCCTCAGTCTCCTCTCCTTCCCTCCTTTGCTCACTCAACCTTTCATTCAGTAAATTTCCTCTGGTTATCTTCTAAGTATAGACATAAAGGTATGTTTCACTGGGCTAAAACCAGGAAAACTAAAAACTAGGCTAAAAACTAGGCAAAATGTTCTAATCCAAAGACATGGCCTTTGTTATGACACCAAGGTATGAATCTGTTCCAACTGTTTTACAGATACCTGCAGGTTCCTGGGGAAAGAGTTCTACTGTACTCAGAAATCTGGCCTCGTGGGAACTAATATCAATCTCTAGGGCTCCTCTTTGACCCCGCCCATCTTCAAGCCTGTATTTTACAGGTCCACTCCTCTTACCAGATGTGTGCCAAGGCCAACCCACAGGGGTTCTCCAGATATGCCAGCCCCTGCCCCAGCTCTGAGGATACCAACTAGGTGAGTACTGGCAGGTTGATTGTACCCACATGCCACATAAAAAGCTCCATTATCTCTTAACTCTTGTTGACACCTTTAGAGGATGGATAGAGGCATCCCCCACCTCCAGGGAAACAGCAGATGTGATGGCTCAGATACTCCTGGAACACTTCATCCCTCAATTTGGTGTGCCACACCCCTAAGCTCCTGGGACATCAATGCTGGCACCACCTCTCCAGGCTCAAGTGGGCACCTATCCAGGATAAATGGAAACAGATTCCTGAGGTCTCCAGGATGGCCGTTAATGGAATACTTCTTCACCCACACCTCCCACTGAACATGAGCTCACGGACTCCTGAATCCCCTTCCCCACATTGTCCCATGCCCACAGGAAGTAACTAGACTTGAAACAGCGTCCGTATATCCAAGAAGGTTGGGATGTTCAGTTGGAAGCACCACCTCAAACCCCCTTCCTCCTTCTCCAAACCCTCTCCCTCTCAGAAAGCCCACCAAGCAGTGGTCCTTCCCCCAGAGCTGCTCAAGACCATCCATCCCTACAGGGTATTTAAGCTCAGTCCCTAGACCTGCCATGTTATTTCTACTCATCCCTTCCCTACCTCATTCCTGGGGGGCTTGAGAGTCACCCGGGTGTGCTTTGCTCATTAAACCTGGACTTTTAATTTGGCTTGATCTGGCTTATTGCATTGGTGGAGAACTATACTACTGGGGAATCCAAAAATACTTATCACAAACATCACAGACAGCATCAGCAGTTGGAGAAAGGTGTTTACTGGGGGTGAGGAAGCACACACATGCAGAAGACACAGAGAAAAGACCCTCTGCAAAGCAGAGAGGGAATTCACAAAGCTGAGGAATCCTATTTGTTCTTGAGGGCTGGGGTTTTTTTTTTTTTTTTAAGTCTCTGAAGAATTTTCCTCCCATCATGTAGGGTTGGTCAGTTTGAAGAAAGATGGGGTTTTTGATTGGCCCACACTGTGGTGCAGCATGTCCTGATCTGGCCTTAAACTCCTTGAGCCAGTCCATTAGCAGGGGTCCAGCTGGAGGGAGAAAAAAAAACTAACAAAAACAAGTACAAGGATTTTGTTTTAAGTTACCAGGCTTTTGTCTCAAGTCATGAGGATAGGGAAGAAGCTGGCAATCCCGGCCCTGTCTGTCTGTCTACTTACCAGCAAATCTGACTTCTCACCTCTCAGCACTAATCCTTGGAGTGGGATTCTGAGCTGTATAAAAAGAAGAAAGTGAGCTGAACCTGTGAGAGATTTTTTTTTTTTTGAAGTGGATGAATCTACTTCTAATCTGGACTTTTGAGGTGGGAAGACACACACCTTTAATCTGGATCTTGAGATAGGAAGACACGCCTTTAATCTGGGCCACGCCTTCTGCTGGAAGCCCATATAAGGACATGAAAGAATTCCTTTTCTCTTTGCCTGCTTGCCCTTGGGTTGCTAGCACACCCGTTCTTTTACTAATGTTGGAGCCGACTTCTTTAGGACTCCAGCATATACTGAAGACCAGCTGAGACATCCAGCCTCAGGGACTGAACAGTTATTGGATTTTTGGACTTTCTGCTCACAGCCAGCCATTGTTGGATTGGCTGGACTGCAGCCTGTAACTCATTTCAATAAACATATATTATATGTATATGAACACACATACACATACTCATTTTGTAAGTTCTGTTGCTCTAGAGAACACTGACTAATGCAGTCCGCATTCCTGGTACCTGGAAGAGTTCCATGGTCATGAAAATAACCCCTGACCCCTACCCTCCCTCTTCATAACTGAGGCGCATTCAGAGCTGTTCAGCATTACATGTCATTTTTTTTTTTTTTTGGATGACTGCTGTTCTCCTTTTTAAATTGGTTTTACTACTTGTTTCTTCCCTTCTCCAGTGTTGTTTTCAAAACTGTCAACATAATTTTTCTGAAATACTCATTTTTATACTGCTTTCTCACTTAATAGTATACAATATCTTATTTCACATCAGATGAAATAGAAATATTTGTACCCTATATTCAAGACTTGTACTACTTAATTTTTCTTCAGTTATTTTTTAAATATGTATGATATATATTTTTATTTTTAGATTTATTTATTTTAGTTTATGTATATGAGTGATATGCCTACATGTATGTATATACACTGTATGCCTGCCTGGTGCCTATGGAAACCAGAAGAGGGTATCAGATCCTGTAGAATTGGAGTTACAGAAGGTTGTGAGCTGCTATGTGGGTGCTGGGAATCTAACACAGTTCTATGTAAGAGTAGATCTAAACCACTGAACCATCTCTCCAGCCCCTTTCTGTTGTTATCAGATCCATTTCTTTCACTTATCCTTGGATACATGCTTGATCTTGTCAAGTATTTCCCTGATCTCAGTTTCCTTCTTTTTCTAAGCTTGGGGCAGACAGATCAACAGATACACACAGCCACATACCCTTCCCAGCCCCACACCATTTTCCTCCTTTCAGAAGAGGTGAGGTGTTGCTTGGATCCTAATGGCTCCCTGGGGGGCGGGGGGACGTAAGAAGGCGCGATGTCAACAACACAGACACCTGGCGTCTGTTGACGCCTTTATTCAATAACAGGAAAGGTCTTGTATACCCTCCTCCCAGCACCCAGTCTGTGTGGTCGTCCCTCATTGGCTGGGCATGATCAGGAACTGACAGTGACCAGGAACTCTGACAGCTCCTGTTGCTAGGCCCTCAGGCAGACTCCAGGTTGGCTCTTAAGGAGTATGTTATGTGCATTACTTGGCAACTGGTCTGAGCCAATTTCCTTGACCCTATGGACCTGTCCTACTATAGTGAGGGTATTCCTTTTGCCATACCTTTGAGCTTCCTCAGTCCAAATTTCACATTTTTTTTTAAGTCACCCGCATGATCCCACAGTGATCTGTATAATCTTGACATGCTAGAGCAGTGGTTCTCAACCTGGGGGTCAGACAACCCTTTTACAGGGGTCAGCTAAGACCAGCCTGCATATCAGATATTTACATCATGGTTCATAACAGTAGCAAAATTGCAGATATGAAGTAGCAACAAAAATAATTTTATGATCAGAGGTCACCACAACATGAGGAACTGTATTAAAGGGTCTCAGCATTAGGAAGGTTGAGAACCACTGCCCTAGAGCTAGAAGGAAGGCTATTTGTTCTGGCCTCACATCCATTTGAGAACTATCTCCCAGCCCCCAGAATCTTTGGGAGATTCATTCTTCCCTCAACTCAGCATGAAGCAGTTCAAAAACACTGAACCTTTACCTTCAGCTCCTCTAATAAGTTAAGGAGAAAACTTTCCCTTGAGGAAGTTGAGACAGCAATCATATAGGATAGTTTAGCAACCTGAGACTCTGCTTGATTTGGGCTATGCACACCTTCCCTTCTAATAATGCACTTGGTAGCCTAGCTCCTTTACTTGCATGTACTCTATACATACCTCTCTCTGGAAAATGCACCTATCAACCTTGGACTTTCACCTGCATCTAGCTACACATATACCCTTCTATGAACAATGAGATAAATTCCTGTCCTGCTAAAAACAATCACACTTAATTCCTATACAAATATAATCCCAATGCACCAAGGTACAAAAAATGGAATGTCAGATCTAGCCTGAACTGGTTTTGTATGCATGCACACCAAGACAAAACTGTGTTCTCAAGTAAAGCTTTACGGAGAATCCCCTATTTACCACCATATGCCTATGCATACTTGGGCATACATATGATTGAAATCAGAAGCATTATGTGTGCTGGTTAGTTTTATGTCAACTTGACACAAGCTAAAGTCATCTGAGAGGAGGGAATCTCAATTAAGAAAATGCCTCCACGGCCTAGTGGTGGTGCATGCCTTTAATCGCAGCACTCAGGGGGCAGAGTCAGGCAGATCTCTGAGTTCAAGACCAGCCTGGTCTATAGAGTGAGTTCTGGGATAGCCAGGGCTACAT